GATAAAGACTCAGGGAATGAACAAATCAGACCTTTATCATCCACATTCCGTAGAACACTATTTTAAAACATTTGCCCAGTTTCTGTTATTATGCTGACCCCAAAATAAAATACTATAAAAATGCTGATTCTTCTATTATTTACTAATTCCTTCCAACCTTTTATCTTTTAACCGCCTTCTTTTTCCTAGTTTCTGCTGTTGGTTTGTCACCTGAAACTCTTCCAGGGACGACTCTTCAGCTGCCACTTCTAACCACCAGCCATCTGTCCACTAACAAAGCTGAAACTGATGGTTCTTCTCTGGGTAACATATCACCTTGCATGACCTGTTTACCATCTGTGTAATAAACCCTCCATAAGTTCTTTAGTTCTGTCCAATCTTCTGGTCTCTGTATTGTTGCAAGAGTTAATCAAATTATGCAAGTGATTCATAGCTTATCTGGATGAAAGAAGCATTTGTTCAAATCTACAATGTCTGGTAACCTTGTTGGTTTTTCTCATTGGTGTAAAGTTTATTTTGCTGAAAATTTTAAATTAACCCACTTTAATTAACTTGCTTCACCAGAGAAGAGCCCTTCAAAATTCTCCTCCAGAACTACAAGGCCCAAACCGGCGGTCATCCACAATCAAAGTCTAGATGATGGATTAGCTCCTGGAAGAAACTTTGGATTTTTTCAAATGAACAGAAGATCCAGGCGTGCGCTGCATCCCAGTCACTCTAGAAGAACTTTACCTCCTCGCTCCTTTATGTCCAGTCAGTTTAATCGTACACACAAAGAGTTCAGACTCCCAAAGTCAAGCTACCAACCCCGAAACATCGCTCCAACCCTCAATCCCATCTCATCTCGGGATCCTTCCCGTCCAAGATCGGCTTTCTTCCGGGGAGCTGCATCCTACAGCAGGCCTAAACACTCCCTGGGGTTTATCTCCACACCTCTGAGGAAAAGGCCGAGCGCAGGGAAACGACCAGCTGCTACACGGGCAACACCCAGCAAGGTGGAGGTTCGTGTGACAAAACCCTCCGCTCCAAAAATCGGACTTAAGTCGACAGCCAGGCCCGTCACGAAAAACACAACCCCACCTTTGGGGAATCCGACCCAGGCGACAGATCAAATAAATCGTCCAGTTTTCACTGCGAAGCCTTTGTCCTTAACTCATAAGATCACAACAAACAAGTCCCCAACAACCGGCAGAGACTCTGAAACTCTCCTTGGACCACAGGCTTCCTTATCATCGCAGGACTCATCTCCACGGCAACATAAAGGTGAGGTGTCTTCATCATCATCATTGGCATCATCATGGCTGAGTAACAGAAAGAACAAACCTGTAGCGCCCGCTTGGCTGCTCAGCATCAGCGATGAGGAATTCCAAACAAGGAATTGGACGGATCCTCTGGAGTACTCTTCAGGGTCCGACATGTTCATGTACGAGGTGGGCCACCTGTACGAATATGATCCTGTTACCTCAGAGGAAGAACTTCCTACCGGAACCGTATCCAGAGTATCGGAGAACCTTGCAGAAGAGGATACAGAGGAAATGTCCCCAAGTAACAGAAGTCCAGTTGAACCGAACTTTGAGGAACATTTAGGGATTTGGCCGGCATCGTCTTTAACTAACCTTACCGTTTCAGCCTCTACTGTTGTTTCTCTGGAGGTTCCCCCCAAACAAGCTGTTGGTGTTTCTGTCTTACAGCAGGAAACTAACAACACGCCTGATTCCTCTCTGCTTGTGGGACAGACTGGCTTAATTCACAACATAGATCTAAATAAAGAAACAAGCTTGTCCGCCGAAATCCGTCCCTCCCCGGTTTTCCATCCTCTATCTTCCTCACAGTCTCTTTTGGGTCCAGTTGAGCCGCCTTCTTTCTCCTCCAACACTTTCTCTCCTCTTCAGTTTTCTGCTTCTCCTTTGGTGTCGGGAACCTCCGATTCTTCTAATGCGCCACCTCTGTCTCCCTCCTCCAACCTTCTCCCTCCAACAGATCCATCTCTACCGTCACATCGTCTTCTCTCTGATTCCGTCTCTGAGCACCGTATACCACCTGGTGTTGATGCCTTTCTCCCAGAAGCCTTTCTGTTTTCTGAAAAGCAATCCTCCCGCAATATATCCCAAATTCCTTCCCAGCCAGATCCTTTAAGCTCCTCGGACGGCTCCATGAGTCAGAACAGCCCAACTTCCTTGAATGTGGAGAATTTATCGGAGGTGTTGAGGTCAAATAGATCCGGTCCATCTTTGAGTCCGATCTCGCTGTGGCCTCATCCAAGAGATTTTAAGGATGTTTATCCTTTTCCAGATGAGTCTCATATGAGTCATCTGTTTACCTCTACTCAACTTCAGTCAGAAGAGCCTTCTGCTTCCTTAAATCCTTCACATTCAGACGTTCTACTTCATGCTTTATCTCACAACCAGCGGGAAAACCTGAGGACGCCCATTGAGACGTCACCTCCTTCTGTAGGGAACTTGGAGCAGTTCCTTGGAGATCCCACGCGATCTCAGATCAGGTTAAGTGTCACCAGCTCCTCTATGATTGATGATAATGATCCATTTTTTCATCCATCTTTACCCTCCTTAAATCCACCTACGACACGCCACAGAACCAATCTGGTAATCCCGGCTCCACATGCTGATGGGTCGAACCGTATTCCAAACTTAGCACACATCCTGCAGCCTCCTTCTCCCTCTGTTTCTCAAATTCCTCCCACTGTATCCCTCCCCGTCACCTCCAGCAGGTCGACTTCAGCAACTGTCAGTCTGACAGAAACAGAAACCGGCTTTCTGTCACCATCTCGACCCACAGCGGCCTTCCTGAACAAACACTTCCAGACCGCACACCGGGCAGACATGCCGGTCGAGCAGTTCTTCTCCCACTCCGGAAAACAATCTTCCTCGCTCTCTGGAGATGAATGGGAAGCCATTCCCTCCCAGCCTCTGGCTCCTGCTAGAAACACAGACATTGATGGAGTTTCATTTCATCTTGCAAGCAGCTCCCAGACAGCAGAACCATCCAGAAAAGTTTTGAAGTTTGATCACGAGGATGTCGTTCCAAAGGTGTTCCCTATAGAAGAGTCTGTCTCTGGAGTAACCACTACTACAGCTGACAGCAGAAGTGATGCCAGAACTCTAAATGGGATCCTGGAAGCTGGAGCTGCATCTTTACACATTGACAATCCAAGCATGATGGATGCATCTCAAGAAACTGCTGATGCTTTTACGGGAGAACCCCTGCTGCCTTCTGACCCCGATCCAGCAGCTTTCAGGTCCCCCAACAGCTCTTCTATCCATGCCCCAAATCAGGATTCCCTGTCTGCGCTTAACATGCTGTCTGCCTCTGCTAACGCAGAGACAGCAGCCACAATAAACAGCTCAGAAATGAGTGAGGACGTCGATCCTCCTTCTGAGCCAGAAACAACAGATATCACACAAGCTGGAGATTCTGCTGTAGGTTTGATCTCTGATCCCAGCCTGTGGAACCAGGCTGTTCTGAAGCCACCTTCAGTATCTTCCTCCTCAGCTGCTCCCTTGAAGGATGCACGTCAGACAACATTACAGCCCACCCTGAGTGTGGATCCCTGCCATTGTAAACAGACCTTTGATTTTCCGTGTCTGTGCAGAGAGTCATCGGGGAACAGTATGTCCAACCTGTAGCTGTAGATGGTCGGAGAAAACAATCACATCAAAACCTTCTTCCTGATTGTATTAGGTCTTAAAATCTGGGTTTTTTAAAGCCCAGATTGGCTCTGATAAGAACCTTTAGATAAAATAAAGTAAGGATATTAGGACTGAGTGCATGTTTGATTTGTTTTTAAAGGTGATGGGCTTTACAATGAAAACATCTAGATCCTCTTGGTGATTGCTGTGTTGATTCTGGGCCAATTCTATGGCCTGAGCTGTCCAATCATACTGATGTAATGATCACCGTCGATGTAGATGAAACTGAGTGATTCTATTATTGATTTCTATGTTGGATTATCTGACACTTTCCTCACGCTTGATCAGTTTCGGCCCTCTTCCTTTATCTAAGTCCATTCAGCTTTCTGGTGGAGAACTGCTCAGCTGCTTTTATTCAGAACCTGAAGTTTGCTTGAGATGCTCGAAGGAACAGAAAAATATATCCAATCCATGTGCAGTTTGCAGGGTCTCCAACCAGAAATAATGTTGTCTGTCAATAGAAGGAAGTAACACACTTAAATGCAAGAGGGACATCTAGTGGCTGCTGTGAAGCATAGCAGGAGATAGAACAAATCACCACAAACCAATGCGACTACCGACTATTTATTCACTGGATTGTTGATTGCCTGATGGTAGTAGGGGGTTGAAGTGAAGCCACCGGCCGCCATATTGGTACTCCCTAGTTAGACAGGTCGCAATGTAAACAATATCTGCACTACAGCATCACACAACAGTGCTTTTGTTTTTATATTTTAAAATAAAGACAGATTCATCACTTTGACACACACTTGCAGTTTCATAGCATCTGTAGATTACTTTAACTTATGATAAAAAAAAAAATCACAAAATGAATATGTTGGATGGAGCATAATAATACAGATGTGCCAAAAGTGCTAAATTGATGATGTACATGTAATATACATGTATTTATTACATTGTTACGGTAACTACATCGTACATGTCTAATAATGCATGCTAATACTAACCCTGTATACATATATATATATATATACTA